AAAAAAAGATTCTGAAGAAAGTGAATATAATGTGCAGTGCATTTTTTGAGTTTTCCAATGAATCATTTAGTCACATTATACATCGCATAATGTTTGTATATTAAACTCAATATTGTTGTGTGAAACATTTGCTTATCGTAGGACTTAGAGGGTACTGTTGGAATGGTTTGCACGTTTCTTGGAAAAAACCTGACAACAGAACAAATTCAACAAATAACCGAAGAGTGCACGTTTGAAGGAATGAAAAAGCGGAAAGTGAGAGAAGAAGTTCTGTACAAAGTTTGAAATTGATCCAAATTCATCACCATTCGTGAGGAAAGGTATTGTTTTTTCTTGTAAAACCTTTTCTAATCATTGTGCATATATACAGTTTCAGTATTTTGATGCGCAGTTGAATTCGCAAAATGTATTGCTATTAAATGAAGTATCACATGTAAATGACGATAATGCACGTAATATACTTTTTTAGGTAAAGTTGGTGGCTGGAAAGATCATTTTACTGTTGCTCAGAATGAAGTATTTGATAAATGGTATCTAGAATCTCTTGAAGGCACTGGATTGTTATTTGAATGTTCGTGATTAGTGTAATGAGTGCTATATATGTTACAGTGTGCTTACAAATATATTGTAAGCATTACAGTGTTTCAATTCAGAACCATCCATTTCAAATTAAATCACTCTCACATTTACGATAATAATAAGCGGATTTTCAAATAGCATAAATTTATTTTAACGTGTTTCAGAAGTGTATATATCTCTGTTTTATCGATATTAATACCGTCTGTCGATGAAGTTCAGAAGTATTTACTGTGTTCTTATTCAAATTAAAAAACACGTTTTTTTCCTTTTGCCCTGCTGTAGTGTAATATACTTTTTAATTAGTTGATACGGAAATATTTAACCCAGCACAGGAAATAAAAGGCTTGGTATAAACTTCACAGTTGACGATGATGATGAAATAAAACTCGACTAATAATAGGTTCTAATGAAAAATTGACTTTACAGCCTAGTGTGTAGTAGAAGAGTGTTGCAGTTATGCACACATATATTTTAGACAACAATGAATAAATGTGGTGGTTGTGAGATTCTTGGTTCCGATTTCATTCAAGAATGTAATCAATATGTTTATCTACTGTATAGTGCATTTCAAAAGTTAAGGTCAATACTATCTTTTGATTTTAGAAAAAAAATGATACACGGCCAAATATACATGTTGACAAAATTGACATCCTAG